GTTAGATTTTAGTTCTTTTATTTCTCCAGAAAGGGATTCTCTAGTATCTTCCATGCTTTTTTCAAGCCCAGCTAGTATCTTTATAATCATCATTCTAAACACTATTTCTGACATCTTACTAATGCCCATATTGATTAGGTCCCTGGCAGTCGGTACTGCCTCTTGTTCTTTTTTTTGAGGTGAGTTTTTCTGTCTTGCCATTTTGTCCAGAGAGTAGATGAATGAGAGAACAAAATGCTAAAAGCATAACAACAACTCCAGAGAAGTAGACACTAAACATATCAGAAGAGACCTGAAACTGGGGGGAAAAGAAAGGGAAAGAAAAAAAATATATATGATCAGGCTGGTGAATAGATGAGAGCCACACACTAGATTTTGGGTGTATTTTCGTCTGTTAGAAGAAGCTGCCTCCCAAATTTTAAAGAAGGAAAAACTTATGTATGTACAAAAATAAGGGTAAATATGATGAAGGGATGGAATATGACTATAAAGATGAAAATTATAAAAGATTTTATAAAAGGAATTGATAAGAAGTTGGTTTAAAAAATAAAATTAAAAAAAAAATAAAAGGGATAGAGAATGTGATCAGGCGGGAGACTAGAACAAAGCCATACACTAGAGATTTAGGGTATATTTTGGTCTGTTAGAAGAAACTGTATCCCAAAATTTTAGAGAAAAACATACACATACACACACACACACACACACACACACACAAAATAAGGTTAACTACAATGAAAGGATAGAATATGACTTTAAAAAGGAATTGATAAGATGTTTAAAAAGGGGAAAAGAAAAAGGAAAAAATAAAATTTAAAAAATTAACTTTGAAAGACTAAAGAATCATGGTAAAAAAGCCATGGATTCTATGTGCAGTATTCCCCTAGTGCTGGAGTTCTGCCATTCTCATTGATCGGTAAACTTGGTCTTGGCTGGCTGTTCTCGCTGATCTTCTGGGGAGGGGCCTGTTGCCGTGGTTCCCAAATGTCTTTGCCGGAGGCGGAATTGCCCCGCCCGTGCCCGGTCCGCGCTAAGTAATCTGCTGGGTTTGCTCTCGGGAGCTTTTGTTCCCTGCAAGCTTTCCGTATAGCTTTGGAGGCCGAGAGTGAAAATGGCGGCCTCCCAATCTCTGCCCCGGAGGAGCCAAGAACTCGGGGCCCCACTCCTCAGTGCGCCCCCAGAGAAAAGCAGTCAGTCACTCCCGTCTCCCCGGTCTCCAGCTGCACTCCGTGCTCCCCCGGCCTGTGACCGAGCATTTCTATCTCTGGCACTCGACTCGGTGTGGAGTCTCCAAACCCAGCAGATCCCTGTGGTGCACTCCCGTGCCGCTCCTCCCGGGGGAGGAAGGGGAGTCTCCCCGGATCTGCCGCTTGTTGGGTCCCTGCTGGAAGAGCAGTGGCCCGATGTGGTGGCACAAATTTGTTCTTCTGATGCTCTCTATGGCTTCTTTGTTGAGCAAACCTTACTCCTTGTGAATGATACACACCCTGCCGTTGTCTGTATGGGGATCATGGTGTCGGCGAAAATGCTTGGGTTTGAAAACAACAGATCTGGGGTTGGATCCCACTGCTGATGTGCGTTGCTGAGTATCTCTGAGCCTCAGTTTCTTCTTCTGTAAAACGGACATAGTTATAGCTGCAGTTTGTCAAGGAGACTGAGGAGACGGCTCCTGTGGGTGGCAAGAGTCCATGCTCAGTGACAGGTAGTTCAGCTGGTTTCATCATCAGGACAGAGTGTGATGGACGGTGATGGTGGGGTGCTCACACGTGGTGCTAACACGATGGTGCCGACTGGTCATCAGGCCCCCCAGCTCCCGCACCAGCCATCACTCCCCCCCCACCACGCTCCTCACGCTCTCAGAGCACACTGGCTGCAGGTGCAAGAGGTACATCACCTCTTCAGAGCCTGAGTTGGTTCATCTAGCAGTGGGTTATCCCTGCCCAGGCACCATCGGCCTGTGTGCGGGGCTGCTTCACGAGTCCCCAGAATTTTTGCCTTGGGTGCTGTCAGCTTTGATGTCCTCTGCCTCCCTTGCTGGCTGCCATCTCCACTGTGCCCCATTCACGTTTCAGGGCCTGAAGAACCAGCCCCGGGTGAAGCTGAACATTGTGAGGTGTCCTCCAGTGACCACCGTGTTGATCAGGAGACCGGACCTGCGCTACCAGCTGGGTTTCAGCGTCCAGAACGGAATCGTAAGTCCGGCTCTGCGCTTCCTCCCAAAAGTCTTAGAACTCTGGCACAGTGTTTGGTTTTACATTTTTTTTTTTTTTTTAAAGCCAGGCAGGTCCCCAAATGAATCCAGCAAGGAGAGGGCTGGGTGGGGGAGGGCCGCTCTGCCTCCTCTGTGGGCAGATCCCCTTCGGGCAGAGAATTCTGTGCCTTCCACAGGAGAAAAAAAGGTGCTAGCCACAGTCAGGGCCCTGAGTCTCTAGGTGACGGTGCAGGGTGGCACTCCCAGCTGCCAACTTGAGATGGTCTGGGACGTGCCTCCGAGTGCTTCTTCCCCCTCCAGCCCTGGGTGTGCAGTGCTGGGGCTGGGCGGGCTCCCCGGTGATTCCAGGCACTGCCCAGGGGCAGCGCCCCCGGGCCTGTGACGCATGAATGGCCTCCGCCTTGCCTCTGTAACCTGAAATAGCACTGTAGGGCTAAAGAGTATTTTCATCACTTGGATGTCTGCCTTGAAACAATACTTCCTTTTTTACTTTATTGTGGTGAAATACACACAGCGCTAAGTTTACCATGGAAACGATTTTTAAGTGTACAGTTCTGTAGCGTGACGTACATTCATTCACAGAGTGGTATAACCACCACCACTAGCTCTTTCCAGAACTTTTTCTTCGTCCCAAGCCGGAATTCCGTACTCAGTACTATTCCCTTTTGTCCTGGTTTGCCTTGTTCTGGACTCACAGGAGGTCCGGGCTTTGATGATAGTCCCGTTCTCTGTCTGTGACCTTCTTGACTTTTAGATTTTGGGTATGCTCTCCCTCTGTTTTGCCTCCGTCTTTCCAGATTGAAGAACCCTATTCTTTTCCCCCTTAAGTTGCAGTTAAGAGCGGTAGGTTATTAAAATTTTATTCAGAGTATGTTTCGAGGTTTAGAAATACCGTTGGGGTTCCCAGGTGGCATGGAAACATCCAGCCCCTTCATCTGTTCTTTGTACCCCAGTGGCCTTGTCCTAGGCTGGGGAGTCAGGGTTCCTTCTATGGTTTGGGCCAGATGTCTGTTTTTATCTGCTGATTTTCCTTGTTTGCTTTGTTCATATTCAAATAATTTTAGAAGTTGTTCAGATACAAACAGTGGCAGGTCCCTCAGTTTTGTCTGAAGTGTGGGAAGCGCCTGCGGAGTGTTTGACCCCAGGGCACCCCAAGGGCCGCAGGGTCCCCATGCTCAGACACAGACAGCCCATTGTCTTGGGACGCCAAGGTCTTGTCTACGTGGGCTGAAAAGGTACATATCTGAAGTGAAAAGTCAACTCTGTAAATTCAGAACATATTTCTGGGGGGAAAGTCTGATGCTTTGTGTGAGGTGGGGACAGCCTGGCTCCCAGGGCCGAGCCCAGAGCCCTCCAGCCCCTGGAGAGGTCATCTCCTCTGCGAACCGCGATGCCTGGCCATACAGCGGCGGAAAGCAGCCGCGGTGGCCTTTCCGTGAGGAGTGAGTTTGAACGAGGGCTGTGGAGTGGAGAAGGCCGAAAGGAGCCAGCTGGCCACACTTTGGCTCATGTAACTGTGACCCTGAAAAGCAGGCTTCGAACATGATAAAGTTCGATGTTCAAGTCCCAGGGGTGAATGTGGGAAGTGATATTCGCCTGTGTTCCACGGGCTGAGAGCTTGAAACCATGGCGGCTCGGTGACAGGTCCCAACAGCTCTTTCTCCCATGGCCCAGCTGGGATGACAAGCGGTCAGAACTCAGCGGGCTGTGACGCCCCGTGATGCACCGAGTGCACAGGCGTGTGGCCCTTTTTGTCGTGGAAAGAAACCAAGAGATTTAAATCCCCAAAGTAACCACAGCAGCTTCTTAGAGATGAGAGGGCAGGGGCTCCAGGAACAACAGGCCCATCCCCACCCAGCTCCCCGCCACGTGGTGCTGCCCTGAAGGGTAACGTGGTCTTTCTTCCGACAGATCTGCAGCCTCATGCGAGGGGGGATAGCAGAGAGAGGTGGCGTCCGCGTGGGACACCGGATCATTGAGATCAACGGGCAGAGTGTGGTGGCCACCCCACACGAGAAGATCGTCCACATCCTCTCCAATGCGGTGGGGGAGGTAGGAGCGGGTGGGGGTGGGGAGTGGTTGGTGCCCCTGGTGCCCCTGGCCTCACGCTTGTGCGGCCCCACACAGGCCTTCCAGGGAGTGTCTGTTCTGGTCCTCAGCACTGCCTGACAGCCAGAACCTCCGTCCCAGCCCGCATTTTTTTTTTTCTTTTAGCATTTTTATTTATTTGAGAGAGAGAGAGAACACTAGAGGGGGGAGGGTCAGAGGGAGAAGCAGGCTCCCAAGGAGCAGGGAGCCCGATGTGGGACTCAATCCCAGGACTCCAGGATCATGACCTGAGCCGAAGGCAGTCGCTTAACCAACTGAGCCACCCAGGCGTCCCCCAGCCCACATTTAACCCAGTGACCAGCCGTGCCCGAGAGCAGCTCCTGCCAACAGGAGCGAGTCCCCTTCGCATTAGTTGCTCTCCTTCCCCTTTGGACTCTGGGATTCATCCGTGTGGCTTCCCTCGGGCTGCCCAAGTTCTGTCCGGTTTTCCAGTTAGCGTGCTGGGGAGATGGAAGTCTTCGCTTGAATCTCGTCAGCAGAGCCCCCTCCAGGGGCAGCTCCCCGGTAGGGGCCTCCTGAGGTCGTGGTGGCTGTTCCTGGGCCCCCTTCCTGGGCCACCCGCCCTGTGCGGGGCGGTGCGGGGAGGAGACAGGAGGAGTCAAAACCCCCACCACCTCAGCCCGGTGAGAGCAAGAACGTCGCACTGGCTGGGAGAACAAACATTTTAGAGAGAGGCCACCTCGGTCCGGTCCCTGTCGGGGGGGGTGGGGGGGTGGGGGGAGGAGATCTTCAAAGCCCCCCGTGGTTAGAGCCGCTGCCCGCCCCCACCCAGGGCCATGGTGGGGGGCGGCGATGCCCACAGCCCCCAGCCTGAGGCCCACTGACGCGCCTCCCGCCCCTCAGATCCACATGAAGACGATGCCGGCGGCCATGTACAGACTGCTGACGGCCCAGGAGCAGCCCGTTTACATCTGAGGCCGCGCGCCCGCCTGGCCGCTTGCATGGAGGCCTGTCCTCACTCGTGGTGTGTTTCTCGTGCTGCATCTGTGTGCCCACCGAGACCCTTCCCTCTCACGCCCAGCACCGGTTCTCCACCGAAGAGAAGAAGCCGCAGACCTCTTTGCTCTCTCTCTCTCCAGTTTGCAGGGTTTTTTTCTTTTGTTTTTTTTTTTTTTTTTTAACGCCAGGGACATTTTGTCTGCGCTCGCTTGAGGATGGAGAGCAGCCGCCAGCCCCCGGGTCCCGGCCCAGGCCGGCACCATCCCGAAGGGCCCTCGGGGGTCCCCAGGGGGGCCATCACTGCTCAAGGGCAGTGAGTCCGGCCGCAGCTCCCGGCGCTCCGTCGGGCCAACAGCAGGCACCAGCTGCGTCTTTAAGGGGTTGCCCTGCCCACCGGGGACCAGGGGCGCCACACAGCTCTGCCCAGAATTTCTGAGCCAACCTTAGGCCTCTTCTAGAGCTAGTTTTAGTTTCCACATCGTTTTTTTTAACGTGAGCCTTCTCACCCAAGGGTCGACAGGGAGCTGCCTGGGACCAGGGCACCATCTCATTGCAGAGAGCTCAGCGGTTCCTGGGGCGGCCTCGGCCTCCCTGGTCGTCCCGAGGTTACCAGCCATCAGATAGACACAGCAGGGACTCCGGTCCCCCTTCTCTGCCGCACACGATCACCCTCGCTGCCTCCCACCACCAGTGAGGCACACAGAGCCCCTGGAAAGCCCACACCGCCACTCTGTGAGGCCCCTGCCCCTGGCCGGTGGGGCCTGCAGGGGCTGCGTGGCCCTGTCCTGAGAGAGACGCCCCCTCCGGGGCTGAGGCCTGGCTCTGCCGGCTCGGCCTTGGTTCAGAGAGCACTAGTGGGCTCCCCCGAGCCCCCACTCCTCACCCGCGCGGGGAGTCTGGGAAGGATGGACTGCTCCCCTGGAGGAAGAGCGCCTGGGTGCCCAAGGCAGGACCAGCTTTCTCCTCTGCTCAGGGCTGAGGCAGCACATGACATTTGAAAGTCCAGCATAGTAATAAACCACAAAACTAAGGGGACAGGAGTGACCCCACACTATGCCTAAGAATCCCCAAGTGTGTTCTAGAAACATCATCTCGCTGCCTCGTGGGTCTGAGAGAGCTTTGAGTGTTCCCATCAGGTGCCTCATTTCGTGGGTTCTGTCTCGGTTCAGTGCGGGTGTTTCCGTGATATTATTCTGAGCCAGTTTTCACTTATTCTTGTCCAAAGAGCATTTTGTTTTCATGTAGGTGGGTGTGGGTCGGTTTGATTTTCGTTTTGTTTCGTTCATGACCCCAGCAGAGACGGGGGAAGAGAAACTAATATATTTTGTGATATTAATAGAGTCCCTGTTCTCTGCACCGGGGATATTTATGTTGTGTCTGTGGAAATAGGAATTCGGTGAGCACATGTTGGCTAGTATGTATTTATATGTCAAATGGAGGGATTTCGGGGAGGGAGGAAAGGGAGTATAAAAAAACAGGAACAAAAGACCGCCCCCCAAGTGCCGAGTGGGCAGTTGCCCTGGGATTTCTGTACCTCCTGTTTTCTGCTGAAAGGAGAGCTAAATGTTCCAAGGGTGTCAGTAGCTGACCCTTCAGTTTGACGATAGTACAAGCCCTAAGGAAGATGGGTCACTGCTGCCCGAACATCCTCTCTGGGAAGGGGCTGCCCCCTCTCCAGGGGTGCTGGGGTGGACGGTCCAGGACTCCTGGACTTTCTGAGGATGCTCAGCCCCAACGGCCGGCTCACCACACCTGTGAGCAGCCAGAATCATGGCTCCAGATTCTATTAAGTCCTGAAGAGTCATGCATTGGTCCTTCCTCTGCCAAAAAGAGTGGGTAAAATAGGAACAAAGCATTATTGGTATTTTAGGCACCAGGAGCCTTGGCAAATCATGGAGGGGCTCAGGCCTGTCTGTCTGCTGCCAGAGCACCTGGACAGAGGCCTGTCCACGATGGGCCGGCAGATGGGGACCCCTCCCCAGCTCAGCACTGTGCAGCCTCCCCATAATTACAAGTAAGTATCTTCACCCAAAGGAGAGAGGAGAGCAAGCATCGATTCTGTTGCTATCGCACAAAAATCCTGGAACATTTGGCAACGTTTGCCAGAGAAGCCAATCTGGTGAGCTCTCCGGGAAGACCAACATATTTTAGCCTAAGAGGAAGGTTCTTTATCCACCGCTCACCTTCTTCAGTCCAAGCGGCTCCTTACACCCCGATAGCTCATGTTCCTGGAGCTCGGTCCGGGTTTGGCTGACTGGAGTCCGTTCCTTCCCCTGCTCCCATCGGATGGAGGGGCCTCACCCACCTTTGGTTAACCAAGGAGGCGGGGCCTTAAGTGTCAGTAACTCGGTTTGGGAAAATCCCGTGGGACGAGGTGGTCACTTTCTTTCTGGCATCCCAATATATATAGTTATATATGTAAATACCTGAACACCCCCATCTCACGGGGAAGACTGTACAGAGCAGCCTTCCCAAACAGGGCCCAGGCAAAAAGCCACTCTTGCTGCTTGGCTGGGACATGCTGGTGACTCAGCTTTGGGGACAGATTCTCAGATTCGTCTGCCCCTCCTGGTCCGGCCAGGATGCACCAGAAAGCACCCTGTCTCTGCCTTCTCACCTGGGAGCATTTCAGGGAGCCACCATCAGCCTTGGGTTCGCGAGAGGAGAAAACCCCCAGAGACTGAGACCCGGCGTCCGCTCCCTCACCAGAGTGGGCCCCTCGGGGCCCCCTGAGCCTGCCGCGGGCCCCCTGCCCCCGAGCCCGCCACGGGGCACCGGACGCCAAGCCTCCATGCACAGGTCTGCTGTCTGGACACTGCCCGTCCACACCGGCCTCAGAGAGTCCCAGAGTAACCTACTACCTCCCCCATCGCTCCCGCCGCCCCCCAGGCCCCCATTCGCACTCCACACCCCCATCTGCACGCTGAGGAAACTCATCCACGAGCCCCTCCTGGGTCCCTCGACCCAGTGGTGTGGCTCTTACCACTGTTTACAACCAAGGGCCACCTCCTTTCAGATATGTTTACTCTCCCACTGACACGGCCACTGGCTGGTTTGAGTTTCGCGTCCGTCGGCTCCTTCCCCGGTTCGGGCCAACTAGGGCACACGACCCGATTCTTTGCCCCCCTCCATCAAGGCAGTGCGTGCGTGAGGACCACGTGGGAAGGAAATTTCTTGTACATAGCACAGCCCCTGGAGTATGAACTTGTACTATTGTTCTGTAAAGAGGGTGAAATAGAGCTTATTGTAAAGCTTGGGACAAGTAGAGTATTGTATTTGTAACAATATCATTCTTTGTATACACAAAACTCAATGATCTCTATATATAAATATAAATTATATAAATAAAATATATACACACGTGAGCCTGGAATGTTGGTGCCACACACCCACTGAATGTACTTCCTCCGGCAGCCTGGTCCCTGGGCCCGGCCGCCCTCCCCTCCTCTGTACTGTTTTGGGGGTTGTGATGTATTCGGTGTGTTCTCTTCCTTTATTTAACTGAACGCTAACGTCTGTAAGAGTTGCTGCAACAATAAATAAGAACTTCATCTCTTGGCCCCGGCCGAGCGTCCTGTTGTTTCGGGGAAGGGACGGGAGGGGCCCTGGGTGGGGGGAAGATGGGGTCTTTTCCTCCCCCCGCAGGCCACCTCCTGGCCCTCGTGGAGGGCCTGCTTCTGCCCAGAGCCCAGGCGCGTCCCGTGAAACCCGCTCGACCCTGGCAGCGTCGCCTGTTAGTGCAGACGTCCCAGCAGCCTGGCGAGGCGGGTCCTGGCGGGTCCCCTCGCGTCACCAGCACTGGGTGGGAGCGGCGGCAGGTGGGCGGGCTTACTCACTGGCATCTCTCGGCAAGCCCCCCAGAGCTGTGCTGCCCCCCGACGACTGTCCCCTGTGGGTGGGACTGCCCCTGCCCGGGGGTACCTCACACCGTCCCCTCTCCGCTTGATCTCCCCTGCAATTGCAGAACTAGAGAAAAAAGCACTCGCCCACCCTGCCACACACACAACCTTCATTCTAGTCTTTTGTCTGTCATTTCCCCTTACACCACGATCCTCCGTTCCCTAACCACCACCACCACCCCCCCCACCGCCCCGAGCTCCTTCCTCATCTGCAGAATAGCGTCTATCTCGTGGGGACACAGTGAGGGTCAGCTAAGGCATTTGAAGCCTTTACAGCCTGCCTGGCTCCCAGAAGGGCTGGGGAAGGGCTGGCCCCGCGGCATTAAAGCAAGCATGCCGAGCCTCCCGGGCCCGCAGACACAGGCCCGCAGAAGCTGCCTGCGTCTTCACCCACCCCTGCACTGCACCATCAGCAGCCACAGCTCTGCAAGGTCCCCATGGGTGCTGGCGGTGTCTCTGCTCAGCTCAGGGGGCCCCAGGACCCCTGAAGCCCCAGCTTGGCCTACAGAGCATTATAAACTGATGCATTTGTTGCCTCCCACAAATGCATATTTTAGTTCCTGGTTAAAAAAAACAACAACTCTGGACTGTTAATGCATAACTTTTTTGAAAGTTAAAACTATGACTCTCCTACACATCCAGGATGAACACACATCAAAGATTGATTAACGCAGTGATGAAACAAGCAATAAAGCTGGTCCAAAGAGCATTCGGAGGTACCACGCATTTGTAGATATTTAAAAGGAATGTGAGGGGGGCGCCTGGGTGGCTCAGTCGTTAAGCGTCTGCCT